TTTATCCTAATTTCAGACCCACCCCCAAGAACTCACTTTTCGGAGCTGTGGCGGCATTTGGGCCCCTCATCTTCTGGTATTACATTTTCAAAACAGACAGGGTAAGTATTGGGCAGGGTGTTTAGCATTGCCGTGAGAGGTACCAGCTCAGTGTTGTGGTTATTGCTCCCAAGCCCCTCCCACCGGAACAGTCCTTTCCCTTCTGTCTTGTATCTTCATTCCTTTCCGGAAGAGTTGGAGTTTTCGATTTGATTTGATACTTTGTTAAAAACCATGTAGCCTATGGGTCTTTCGGATTTAATTTAATGTTTACTCTGCCATTAGAAAAAAAGTCACAGAAGGGTCAGATTAAATGTGTGAGATTAGAGTTTAGCTCATGAAAACTTTTCTGTTTTTTCCAGATAATATAAGGAAATTATAGTGTGATTATTAAGCATATGAATACCATAATAACTTTTTCTAAAGTTAATTTTCTCCTTAGAGGGTGGATAGAAACTCTTGCTAAGACAGAATTGAGAAGGTCTCACTATGTCTCCCAGTCCAGCCTCAGATTCAAGGACTTCTGTCTCAGCCTCCTGAGCACTGGGATTACAGGAATGAGTCACCATGTCTGGCTTAAAATTAATTAGACGTCTTTTGTGATTCACCGTCAGATATGCTGGTGAAGTCTTTAGTTTTGTTGGCGCATTTGTTAGAGATGAGGTTTATTGGTCCAGTGTGAACAGAGCGTACGGATCACTTAGCAGGCTCTCTGTTGCTGGGTTCTTCATATGAGTGACTTTACAGACATACTAAACCTCACAGTGGCAGCAGAAGTAGCCTGCTAGCCACCATCACCAGAGGCCTTGCTGCATGGTCACAGAGAAGGCTGCTCCCTCTGACTCTCGTTCCTGGCACAGTCCTAGGGCTTGTGCAGCCATCCAGACTGGAGGCCACTCCCCCGTCCACATTATCAGCCAACCACCCTCTCTTCTCTCAGAGCTCTGTCTTTTGATTGGTCGATCAGCTGTGCTTTTGCTCTGGCTGTCTAGCTTTGCAGCTGGGCCTGGGAGCTCATACCCAGAATCCTAGCCCTGGGAGGCTGTGGCAGGAGGATCACCTTAGTTTGAGGCCAGCTAGGCTAATGACTGAGTTCCAGGCTAACCTGGGCTGTAGGATGGGATTCTGCCTCAGAACAAAAACAGTGTCTGTTTGGGATCATCACTGAAAACAGCTAAGGTGCTTTTGAGTGGCGGTGTTTTCTTCTAGTCCTAACTTCGTCTCATTGTTTCCTCAGACTTGTTGGGCTTTAGGGATGGGACTACAACTAACTTTTGAGAATTTTTATTGCTGATTTGCAGTTATTCCATGGCCATGCCATGCTTTTTAATATTGTGTCTCTTTTTGTTTTATTCTGTACAGGACAGAAAGGAAAAACTTATCCAGGAAGGAAAATTGGACCGATCTTTGAATATCACCTATTAATTTTGGCAAGGATGACACGATCCTTGAATAATTAAATAAATCTATTATCGCTGAACAGATTCTTTTGTTCTTGGGTTTATTGTTGAGGCATGTTAATACCTCACAATGGAAGCAGAGGTGGCTCGTGCTGGGATAATGTGTCAGAATGACACTAGTGTTTGCTGGATGTTATAGAATCTCCTTTCCAAGAGCCCAGCTCAATGAAGAAACATTTCTTTATTCATTTAATCTGTCATTCACAAATGAGTCTTAACAGTGGCCAGCTGATGTGCATGCTAAGGGTACAATAGCCAGAGAGCCAGAGTGCACAGCTCTGAGAACTCGTTAGGATCCAGTACGTAGGTCCTTGCCTGGCCCCAGCCTTATCAGTGAGCACAGCAGAAGGTAGCGATGATGTGAAACACGTAAGAGACTTGGGGAATGAAGTACTGATAAGGAAGCAGCTCTGTGAGAGGTTTGGGGAGATGGCATTTGGTTTAGTTTCTGAAGATCCAGAGGCTGACAAGGGGCCTGCTGGGTTTATCTGACCTGGCTGCCTCTGGGGTAAGAAGGTGAGGGGGAGAGCGTGCTGAGGAACAGAAGGATGACATCCAGCCTGGGATGAAGGCTGCTGGGATTTAGCAGGTAGAATTCTGGTTTCCTTTTTATAGTGTGGAGATAGTAAGGCCTTTCACCTCATAAAGCCATGAAGATAAAAATGAAATAGTATTAACTAATACAGTACCTGCTACTCCACCTGGTAGTTCAGTCTGGAAACAGTATGGTAACGATTTCTTCCACAGAGACAGTTAGATCATGGGGAACAGCATGTACTCTAGGCCGCTAAGTGTCTGTGGAAGCCTATGCAGCCAGTCTCTCGTCTGTTCCTAGCTTCGCCCTCATTACCAGAATCAGCAAAGCCTGGAAGGCTTCGCATGCATTATGTTGGGATCTAAAAGGGCCTGGGAAGAGGGAAATGCAGGGAGGGATGGAGTCCATCACTGTGTGCTGTTGACTTCTTGCCTCTGAGTAATGGGCTCCCATCACATTCGAAAGGGCTTTTCTCTATTCTCCTTTTATTATTGCCCCTGGACTCCAGCCTGTGAGGCCACGGTGTCGTTCATATTCAGGGCAGGTCTTCCTCCCTTAGTTAATCTGAAAACATCCTCACAGATACACCCAGAGGTGTGTTTTACTAATAGACTAGGCACTTCTCAATCCAGTGAAGATGAGAATCAAAAGTTAACCATTTTAAGGCCAGGGAGTGAGTTCATTCCATAAAAAGCTTACCCTGTAAAAATGACAACCCGAGTTCAATCCCAGAATCCATGTAAAAAGCCAGATGTGGTGGAACGCTTGCAGTCCCAGCTCTGAGGAGGCAGAGTCAGATCCCTGGGGCTCACCAGTCAGCCACCCTGACCTAACCAGAACCTCTGGCCGGTGAGAAGTCCTGACTCAAAAGACAAGGTGATTAGTGCCTGAAGAACAGCATCCAAGGCTGTTCTCTGACCTCCATATCCACACACACTCCGGTGCACGTGCCATCCACACACAAATGTGTGCACCTGCATGCACATACACACACACAAATACACACACATACACACACACACACACACACACACACACACACACACACACAAAAAAAAAACTATGGGAACTGAAGTAATAAGGAGCCTAAACAGTAAGCAAACAGGAGTGTTGGGGTAGAAGCCACAGAAGGTGTGAGAGACAAGTCAGAGGAGCAAGCCTGGTAGACACACGAAGTTGATGTGTAAAGACAGTTCAAGTGAAGCAGTGTGCATTTCTGCAAAACAAGCCTGCATCTCTGTCTAGCCCTACAGCTGCAAAGTAGCGATTGTCTGACTCATGCGATTCTCATCCTGAATTTCATGTCATTCCTAATCTGTCCTTGCCCCCACCTCACTATCCTCTTAATGCCCCCCCCCAATTTCCTTCTGTGCTTGGAACTGAACCTGGCATCTTTGC